GGACCATGAGACGGGAAAAATCCATGCTAGGAATCAAAAAATCCCACCTGCATTAATTAATCACAAGGTTGGATATACCCATGACGAATTTGTTCATCTTAGAACTAGCATCCGCAGCCATAGTAGGAGCATGTTTTGATAGTTGATTGAAGTTGAGGCTATAATCCTTCACACTCATACTCCCTTGACGAATATTGATGAATTCTTGCATTTTCATCTCCCTTAATTCTAAGGGGAAGAACCTACAAAGGAAAGATGTCTTGAATGAAGACCAACTAATCGGACCTTCTCTAACAAGTCTGTCCTCCTTCCATTGTTCATACCAAACATGAGACACATCATTAAGCCGATAGGAGACTAGTTCCTCCTTTTCTTTAGACGACACACCCATAGCCTCTAGCACTTTGAACACTTCATCCATCAGAAATCCTCCACTTTCGAGCCAAATAAAGTAGGGGGATTCATCCTCATGAAATCCTTAATCCTAGATTCAATAGTGCTGGCATTGGTGTTCACTTGCACCCTTGAATACCTAGAAACTTTACTTACACTAGAGTCAAGATATGAATAGACACTCTTATCTCAATATTAGACATATCCACTTCTTCAATAGGAACTTGAGGGTTTTAAGGAGCTTGAGGGGGAATCCCTTCGTTCACATTGTCCTCTTCGGTCCATCTAGCATTGTTCCTTCTTGCATTCATTGTCTATAAGCACAAGAAAAAGATTCAAAGAGAGGACTAGATAGATTTATGACTCCCATGTACAAGACTCTACCTAAGGGTGTAATTTGTGACATCAATCCTACACTATTCTCAATCTTACACTCTCTTACCAAGTTTGTAAAACGATCGAGGAGCACCCCTTAGTCGTAACCGGAGTCTTCATCCTCGAGAGGACTTACACAAGCCCTTAGAATTTGTTAAAGCATATATCATATGATAAAAATACGGAAAATAATTATAAATTTTACTTTGGAAGTTCAACTTCACTTCATAAATGAAAATAGAATATAAATTTGTCACTCAATATCATCTTACATAGGATATATAAATTTTGGATTTATCCCTTACATCAACAAGGATTCTAGAATGAGGAAATACAATAATGTCTTCGAACATAAGCAAACAACTAAAAGCTATATCATAAAAGTCTTGTCCTCAGACATGAGGACTCACCAACTTTGAGAAGTAACTTCCAAGTATCCTTGAAAAGCGACGTTGATTACTCAATTGCTCGAACCTACTTTGTTTGAAAAAAAAGGGAAGAAAATATGGGTTATTACATTAAACGTCCAAAATATGGCGTTTATGCATAAAAATCATCAATGCATGTATAAAAGGACATTTTAGTCAAAACATGTTTTTACTAAGTAAATCCAATATACACATAAAATAAGAATCATAAGCCAGCTCAACATGATATAATCCCGACATGTATACACCCTAACAATACTTGTGCAATGCAAAGAATAGTTTCCCCTAACCCTATTCAAAGTTACCACATTAGGCAACCTACTTCATACAAACATTCATAATCTCATATTTCATCATAACCTGCTATATTCATATAGATCATACATAGATGAACATACATGAGTTATAATAAATACAATCACAACAGAACACTACTAGAACCATCTAATAAGATTCCACCAGTGTAATGTGCAAGCAAAATCTCATACTCTCCCTCACACAATGTAGAAAACCCCTCAATAAAATCCCTAGTTAGAATCCATACATTTTCTTTATTCATTTACTTTTACATTAGGAAACGAGGTTGGAATAATCGATATTATACCATGTGAGCTACATGGAATTCGGTGTTCAACTCCCACACAAAACAGAGAGGGTCAACACTTGACTAAGGGGTAACCTTTCCTACATAT